CAATGTTTACCTAAGGCATTCCATCTTGTTTTTTAAAAAAATTATCCATTTTAGAAATATTTTCTCTACTTCCTGCTTGAAGATATTCTTAAAAAAATTACAAGTTAAAAAAAAATTATAAAAGATATAAAATTATGATATTTCATGTGTCACGGAAACATAAAAGACACTTCCAAAAATTGAGATATCCTACCATTCAATTTGTCCAAAAGGAATTTCTTTCCTTTGCACAAGTCATGAAAAAAATATAGTTGCAAGAGATTTTTTAAAGAATAAAATTTAAAATAGAACATAAGTAAACGCTCTGTTTGTTGAAAAAGCAACGTTCTAATAACACCAAATAAGCTGGAAGGCATTAAAAAAACAATGACCTCTCTGTGAAAATATCCCTCTAAGCCTTCTTTTCACGTTTAAAAAAATGAATCTATTTAAATTTTTGCTGGATTCTTTTTAGGGTTGATGGTTCGGCGCTTAAAAGATGAAAACATCTTTCGCAGCCGATCACTTATGTCCTGTGACACCAGATAAGACTCTGAAAGAAATTTTATTTAATTTACCTTGGGGCTGCAGGGAGAGTTTTCTTCGGACACAGTTCGGAATACTCTGGATTCTTTTCTTAGAAGAGAAGATATATAGATGCTACTCTTTTTTCTCTCTTTTTGTTAATGTTGTTGAATGAAAAAACGACTTTGCAACTGACGTGTATGGCGGCTTTAGAAATGTCGCGTCCTAATTTGGAGTTTTAACAAGGATTAGGTGTCTTGGTCATGGGTGGCCAAATCAAATGTTCTTGCGGACCACTTTGGAAATAACTCCTCGGGCCGCTTATAAAATAATATATCCCCATATTATATTTAAACCCACTAGAGATATTTTTTGGGAGTGAAAAATTCGAACATGAGTTATTATTGCTGTATTTACTTTTATTCTTACCTGCAAACATAGATACTATAATAATAATAATGATACTAAACGCGCATTGTAAAGAAATCTATAACACAGTAAAAATGAAATAAAAAAAAATATATAAATATAAAAGAAATAAAAAAAATGAAATTATTAAAAATATTTATTTGACTAGCGTGATATGTGTTTCTCCACTCTTTCATTTAGCTTTTGCAAATCGATCTCCATTTGGATACTGGCACATCGTAATGGGTGTTGCGTTCGTTATGTCTGAGCTTGTTTGTGCCTTTTCGAAAGAAAAAAAAATGATTTGCAGGTGCAAGTTGAACCAAACGTTCTAACAACTTGAACTGAGAGTCTGATTTTCTCTGTTATCCACAATCAATTGTGCGTATCTAGAAAGGGTCACTGAGTCACGGATGACACTTAAAGTGAAACATAGAACCTGTTGTAGTAGATGTTCCAAGATGAGCGTGCATCATGAGTTCGCAGAATATAATTGAATTATTCTGCTAAGTCATAACTGCAAACTTATAAATATAACAGGCAAAATATGCCCTATATTTGAAAGATTATTTTAAAATCAAAGATAATTTTTTTCTCATCATTTCGGTAGTTCATTTTTGAATAGAGGGATGCACACATAATGTATATTTTTAATACATTGTTTTTCACTACTTAGGCCATTATAAAATAAATATATTTCATACAAGTGGGATACATCTCACGGGATGGAAAAATAGTCTAGAGGGGCCGCGGGGTGGCCACCCGTGGTCTTACCAAAGAGGAATTCTTAACAATTACAATGTAAGATTATTGCAGCATCGGGATTTACATTTTTATTCATTAGTTACTGTAGGTAATTGTTATAGGTAGCTTATTCCGGATCGTTTAAAAAGAAAAAAATTGATTCAAATTTTAATTTTATTCATTTTTAATTAATTATTAATCACATTTTAAGTGGACCTACATAAAAATGGATTAAAACGAAGTACGTCACAGATTATTAATTTTTCTCCAAGTTCTTGATGAAGATCCTAGATGCTTATGCCAAATGGCTAGTACTCGGGCCTTTTATACCACAGAGTTCAGGTTCGAATCCTAGTGGTGGCATGGATGTTTGTGAGGGGTTCGAAATCCACGTTAAACTCTAGGTCCCGTAATGCAATGTTCCTCTTATTCTCTTCTTTTTGTAGAAGTTGTCGAATGAAAAAATCGACCTGTCAACGGACTTGTCTATCGGTTTTTAAAAATATCGCGTCCTAATTTGGAGTGCCAACAAGGATTAGAGTTCTCGGCAAAGATGAATTCTTAACAAATACGATGTAAAATTATAACAGCATCGAAATTTTCGTTTTTATTTATTAGTTTCTGTAGATAATTGTTGTAGGTAGCTTATTTAGGTTCATTTATAGAGAAAAATTTAGTTTCAAATTTTTATTTTATAATTTTTAATTAATTATTAATCAAATTTTAAGTGGGGCGAAATTGAAAATGGATTGAAACGAAGCATTTCACAGATTATTCAAATATCATTGATGAAGATATCAAATATCGATTCTTGATGAAGATCCTAGATACTTATGCCAGAAAACTTGACAAAAAAAGGTTTAAATTTTTCTGTGAAGTCCCCAGCCCTATTTAGAACCAGCTCTTTTCAAAAGCAGCATATCGAAAAGTTCGAGATTCTGCTGTAGTACTCTTTCAAAAATCACATTTTAATTTGATGAAATTTCCATCAGATTTTTTTTAAATTTTGTTTAATAAAAAAATAAACATAGGCCGGCCTTATGTTCCAATTAACACAGGACACGACCCGCCCGAATAGTGAAAGGAGAATTGTTTGGGGTAAAAACTCTCCTGGAAAACTCTCACCAAGCAGCCTGACTATCAATGCGATATCCCATACACCATGGTTTCTCCTTCCTTTTGAAGTGGCCTGGTGGCCAAGTGGCCAGCGCTTTTGCCTTTTGTACCGAAGGCTTCAGGTTCGAATCCTGGCGGTGGCATGGATGTTTGTGAGTGGTTCGAATCCACTTTAAAATGTAGGGTCTGGTAAAAATTGGTCTGTTTAGACCTCGTAACCGTAGAGGACCGAAGATGACCGTAGAGAGACAAACCAGATGTCTCTTTTGAAACAGTGACTAATACGGAGGCCAACAGCGAATTCAAACCTGAAACTTCTTGCCCCATCAATGAGTAAATTCCAACTGAGCTGCCCTGGCGAATGTATTATGAAAACAAAAGTGAAAATATTACGAAAGATCAATATATTGATAAAACAAAGAAACTCTTTTGATTGAAATACACTAAAAAAGAATTCCTTATTTAAATCCCCTAAAATCGATATATTTATTTTCTGGAAAAGAAAAAATAGGGTGAAGAACTCGGCAATCTAAAAATCTTTTGAAGTTTGATTGAAAACAAACAGTGCATGCCAAGAACAAATAAACTTGGGAATATGGAATGCCTTGATTGCAGTGCAGGCTCGTGTGTGTGGGAGGGGCAGAGTTTTGACTTAATCTCAACTTAGGAACAAAATTAGTCTCCAAATAGTGATGGGAACTACATTTTATTATGCTAAAAGTGTCGAAAACCTCGGTTTACTGGGCCACAAGGCCCTATTTGCGATCCATGAATATACATCGGATTCTTGTGCAAATCTTGCAAATCTTATGCATTACCATTGCAAAACAAGGTTTCGACTGTCGGAGTGTAGGGAAAATAATTCCTGGGCCTCGACAAAAAAAGAAATAAAAACAAGATCCATTTTATTATTTCTCACCCCCCACCAGACACTCTATCCTAAAGAATTGCAAAATTTATACCTTAAATTTATGGAACATCATCGCCGTGAGGCATTGAATTGTTATCTGTCCTATTTCGTAATCGTTGTTTATTCGAATCACATATTTGCATATAGTTCTGTTTTTTTAAAAAGAAATTGTCGATGGTGTAGAACGTAAGATGGGAGTCTATTCGGTTCAAAAGTTCTTTTGTAAACAAATAATTAAATTATCGCGAATTCTAAGCTCCAATTATTTTCCCCTTTAAGAAAAACAACCACTAGTGAAACCTGCAGGCCGCATACTTAATTTGGCCTCAGCACAGACGCACACATATATGCTATAACATACACTCACGAGCCAAAACATTATGACCACCCCTACATTTTGCAATGAACTCGCCTGGATGACGTGGAAGGCACGTGATCAGGTGGAAGTGATATTTAACTGGAATTAAGTGGTGGTATTAATCCATGCCAAGGCGGGTTGAAGCTGTGTTTCGCGCCAAAGGTGGGCCAACTCGTTATTGACAGGTGGTCATAATGTTTTAGCTCTTGGGTGTATATCTAATATGCCTTTGCAATACCATAACATATATATTAAATAAAAGCGGAACATTCTCAATCACGTAGAAATGAAAATACCATAAATGTTCTTCTTCCAACTTGTCTGTCTGACGAAGAAAAATATTTGAATTTTTTTTTTCTTTTTTTGTTCTAATGCAGCTGGCAAACACTTAGACACTTGTCTTTGATGCCTTAAGGCAAACGCTGCATCGACGTTACTCACTTATCACAACCCAGGAGGTGCGTGTAGCTGGAAGATAAGCCACGGACGCGGAGCAACATTACCCCCGCAACGCTCTATGATCATGTTAGACCGGGACATACGGTTTAAAGTGGATTCCGAACCACTACACACATCCGTGGTACAGCCGGGATTCGAACCCGAAATCTGTGGTACCGAGCGACAGAGCGCTAGCAACTCGACCATTCAGGCCCAAATATTTGAAATTAATATAATAATTTAAATTAATATAATATAATTATAATTTACCCTATTCTTACGACATTTCGAAAGCTCAAGGAAAAGTTCCAAACTTCAGAGGCGGAAGAATATAATAGGATATAGTGGTTTGAAAAATGATATTCCGTTTCATTATAGATTAACCATTTGCAAGATTAAAATTCTCATTACAGTACTATTGGATTAGTTTCATGCCAATAATTCATGACAATAAGGAAATAAAGGCCTACATGTCAGATAAAAAGGTTGGGTGTTCAAATCACGTCCGGTGCAAATTGAAGTCCGCCCATAGCTCAATTGACAGAGTGATGGACTGTCGCGTCGAAACTCACCGACATTCATAAGTCGCTGGTTAGACTCCGGCTCGACAGAAAAGTTTGTTTTGTAGGGCCTGATAGCCGAGTGACTAGCACTCTGGCAATCGGCACCTCAAGTTTCGGGTTCGAAGACCCCGATCTAATAGGATCTTAGACCGTTATGGAAGTAGTGTGACTCGCGTCCGTAGCCTACCTTCCAGTTACACGTGCCCCTTGGGTAGTGTTCAATGAGTAACAGCGGTGTAGGCCTGTGCTCTGTGTAAAGGCCAAGAAAGTGAGAAATAATTCAATATAAATAAGCATTTAAAAAAAACCGATATTCTCACTAGAGAAATTAAAGAATGAATGTTTTCACAGAGTTTTACGGATATTTCTTGTACAGAATTGAAACTCTAATATAAATATCAGAAAAGTTATGCAATAAAATTATAAACATAATTTTAAAAATAAATATAAATTTGAATTTCTTGAAATTTATTCAATAAAAACAGCTAATTATTTCGCATAAAAAATTGACAGTATTTTAGTCTTTAAATGCTATATAATTAATACTTTGAACTTTTAAAGTATTCAAATACAATAAAAATTTATTTATTTAATCGTACATTTAAATTTTATATATTATATTGAATCACACACGTAGATTTCTATGAGATGCATCGCAGATATAAAATACAGGGTGATTATAATTAAAATTCATCTTTCAAAATGCTATGTCATAAAAGAACCACCCATCACAACGAGTTCAAATTTAAATTAAATTTTTCTTTAATATTTCTATTCTATATTTATGGATGAATATATGTAATTCGATACATAAACACATACCAACTAAAATGCATGCCAACATAAACAAAACATATGCCAACTAAAATGCAAAATAGTAGATGGTTTCTTAATAGGATCCTTACTAAATTATTTTCCCTACAAATGTCATTTTCAGCTTTTCCTCTCAACAAAAGTGACATCCCAATAGAAAAATTTGAAAAATAGTATCAAAACTAGCTTTTCCATTCACCCCATATGCCTCTTTAGCAAGCATCCGGTATCCTCGTTGGAATGAACAAACACGTTTTTCTCCGCAGCCATATCATCTTCAGGTATGGCTGTCAACAGAAATGGCATCCAATTTGCCTAGATTCAAAAGATAGCTGGAACAGCGCCACGTTGCGTTCGAAAAACGAAACGAGTTCAACAGATCGAAACCAACTTATTTAAGTTAAGGAAAACAAAACGCATTAATAAAAAGATCATTATTGCGTTGACAGGACGAGAACTTTAAATTTATCTACCCTCAAACCATACTATTCTCACTTTGTTTCATTTACCTTTTTCCTTTTTTGCAGGAACAAAACAGCAGGACAAGTTCCTTTAGAAAAGATGAATGGCACTGACAAGTGAAACAATGTTTTTCCCTTTTCCCAAATTGTAGTCGGAACTTGTTCGTATAACTTCAGCAGAAGTGGTTCAAAAGTATGAAAACTAAATCGTAAAGGCAATTTATTATTTTTTAAATATAATTTTAATAAAGTTTTTTTATTATTCCAGCACATCTGATTTTCGAAATAAATGTAAAGAATTATTTATGAGTATCTCTTGTAATATTCTTATATGAAAATTATTTAAAAACACTTTTAAAATTCTCTTGAAAATGTCATTTTTAGTGATTTGATCCTTTTAGGTAACTAAAAGCAGAAAGACATAAATAGAACAAAGATTTTTTGTATAAATACACATCTGATTAAAATTTTTTTTACGATATTGAACTACAAATTTTATACGATATTTTCTTATGAATATTTATTATAACTTTTATAAGAAGCAATGAGATTAAGAATGCAAAACCGTAATCTGTACTATTTCTTATTACAAATTTAAAAATCCTTTATTTTAGAAAAAACAAACTTTATAGTCAAATGAGCAGATAAAAATGAACAGTTGCCTCATTTTTGCTGCCATTTATTCTCATAAGGAGGTATAAACTACTCTATTAAACCCCATAGACATTATTTCTGAAGCCATTTTACCCCAAATATAGTGTCTATGATTGGCCTCCATTGAAGACGACCCCCATTGAACGGGAAATCGGTGTTTCTGTTACTTCCAAGCAACTGAACTGGAAATCGGAGTTTCGATTCGTTCCCAGGAACTGAACTGAAAATTGATGTTACGATTCGTTCCCATTAACTAAACTGGAAATCGGTGTTTTGATTGGTTCCAAGGTACTGATAGAAAAATCGTTGTTTCGATTCGTTCCAAAGAACTGAACTGGAAATCTGTGTTTTGATTCGTTCTAAAGAACTGAACTGGAAATCGTGTTTCGATTTGTTCCAAATAACAGAAATTGAAATCCGTGTTTCGATTGCTTCCAAGGAACAGAACTGGAAATTGATGCTTCGATTGATGCCAGAGAACTGAACTGGAAATTGGTGTTTTGATTCTTTCCAAGGAACTGGAAATCGACGTTTCGATTCGTTCGAAGGAAATGAACCGGAAATTGGTGTTTCGATTCGTTTAAAAGAGCTGAAATGAAAATCGGCGTTTTGATTCGTTCCCAGGAACTGAACTGTAAATAGGTGTTTCGATTCCTTCCCAGGAACTGAACTTCAATTCTGTGTTTCGATTCGCTCCAATGAATTGACTGGAAATCATGTTAATTTCTGCACTATCATTTATGTGGTTTCATAAAATATTTTGAAAGATACTGGAAGTATTATTCATTTTAAAATACTTTTCTGGCATTTGTTTCATCATAATTAAAATTCATATATTAACAGAATGTATACAATGTAACCTGTAATATACACGAAATAATTCATCAAGCGGTAATAAAAATTTAAAATCATAATCAGTATTATTTCTTATTGGAAATTTTACTTTCTCTAATAAGAAATAGTACATAATGTAATATTTCCAAATCCTTTAGTTTAGAGAAATCCAACTTTATGGTGAAATAAACTGATAAAAACTATGAGCAATTGCCTCGTTCTTGCAACCATTTATTCTGGATAAAGAGCTATAAAACTGCACCATTAAACTGTTTAGGCATTATTTCCAGAACTCCCCCCCCCATTTTATCCGAAAAGAATAGCATAAATGATCGGTCTCTATGGATGGCGACTCCACTGAACGGGAAATGGGTGTTTCGATTCGTTCCAAACCGTTCAGATGCCCTAATGGGAACAGTCTGGAATTCGGAAAACTACAGGTGAAAATATCCTCTAGAATGAGTCAGGAGAAACGGGCTTAACAGCTTTTGATTTTAACTTTATGGTGAGTAAGTTTCTTATTTCATATATAGGAGTTTGAATAGAGAGATCCTGAAATATATCCAGGCACCCGACATTGCAAAGACAGTCGACCCTTTTTACCACTTGCATATGGTAATGGATTTCTTCATAAAACTGCAGCAGAGGACAATGAAATATTGGATGAGGGTCGAGAAATTTAACTAAAAAAAGGCTTTAGCGTGAAAATGATGGAGACAGTTGATAAAACAAAATGGTTAAAGGGTAGTTATACAAAAAGACTTAACTAATAAAATGTGTCAGCCAGCGTTGATATCCAAATGAGGTTCGATGAATCGTTGCTGTACCATCAAAATGGTGTAGAAAATGGGCTTAGAAGGTGTAAAATTTATTTCATGAGGATTTAATTTCGTATAAATAGAAGGAGGGACTTTGAATAAAGAAGGGCCTGATGGCCGAGTGGCTAGCTCTCAGGCGCTCGGAGCCCCAGTTTTCGGGTTCGAGTTTCGGCGCTGCCATTGATGTGTCTAGTGATTCGGAATTCTCTTTAAATGTAGGTAATATGAGCGTTGTGGGGGTAGTGTGACTCGCGTCCGTAGCCTTTCTTCAAGCTACTTGTGCCCGTTAGGTAGTGTTCAATGAGTAACAGCGGTGGAACCCCTACTTATAGCATTAAAATGAACTGCCTCTGTATTGAAAAGCTGCATTAAAAAAATACTGAATATAGAACTTTTGAAATGCTATTTAGTCTGTATATGTGCATTGCAGTAATAAAATATTTTACTCTGCAATTTATACATCTACACTGCTTTACCACAGTTTTCGGATAGAGAGCCATTTTTAGATAAAAACATAATGTAACTAACTAATGAAAGCGTATTTCTTTGAAACAGTTTTGCAAAATCATGTTTTATTTTTTATTCAGACACTCTTTCAATTATTTTGTGTAAATTATTTTTTGTGTGACTAATCCTCAGTGTCCTAGATTGCTGGACGGACATCCCATGAGTCACCAACTCATGCATGGAAGGAAAGGGGCAGTTTCTGATGCGATGGAGTAACGGTAGGTAGAAGTCCGACTTGGCTCCGTGACGCTCTTACAGTCCTATGAGACCGGTACCTGCGGCTTAAAGTGGATTCCGAACCACTACGAACACAATGACACCCTACATCCATGGCACTCCAGGGACCCGAATCCGAAACTAGCGCTAGACACTCAGTCATCCAGGTCCAAATTCGTTTTAAAACAATAATAGAAGAAAGAATATTATTAGCCGAAGCTTCCGCATACTAACTATCAAGTTCAATAACTTTCTAGCATTTAGCATGCTAAAGCATTTAAATCATTTTTGCAGCAATTCTAAAGCAACGCAATTTGACATCCAGGCAGAATGCTTAGAAACATTATCTTGTTAGAGGCAATCTGTAGATGGGGAGCAAGTAAATAAGTTGGTAATAAGATTATACTATCCCAAAGTTTCCTAAAAAAAACCAACTTATTTGAACCAACTTACTCCAGCTAAAACTTATCCAAGCCGTGTTTACCGAAAGCAAGTAAATTCTCTTTTGAGAATTCTCTTTCGATTTTTGCCAAACTTCTTTCACCGAATACATTAAATTCACTTCCACCAGCGGGTATATAACACTGTACGAAAGCCCTTTTCCATGTTTCTGCCAAATGAAATTCCAAGTCTTAACAACCCACACAAAATATATTTCTTATCACTCAACGATATTAGGCTGGTCGAATTACTTTCTGAAGTGTTTTTGAGCTTGCACATAATCTACTATACCCAATTGTAGCTTT